CTTCTTGTAGGGTCGTGAATAAGGCGCTTTTACGTCTGAATAAAGGAACATTGTTGTACATATAACTCTGCATACGACTATTTGTTTGATACTTTTAACATTGCATTTACACGAATATTTTGTATCTAAATAAAACGTGTCGACCGAAAAGTCCGTGCTGAAGAAATGGCCGATTTACGAGAGAGCGCGAACATTCTGCACATCAAAGAGACTAAGCGTATTAAGGCTTAAATTTAAGATTTCATTTGCAATAATTAATAGGTTTTTTGCCTCTTGATGACTGCCGTTGCTGTTCTAAAATTGCGCAGAACTGTTGTAGAAGAGCAGTGCTGACTGTCTGAGCTGCTGATGTTGATACTGCGGCTTTTGCCGCGTTTAATGCTTTGTTGTTATTGTCCAAGCTGAATTTTATGTACACCTTGCCAGGCAGGAATAAACTGGCAGCTGAGCCATTGCCAACTATGGCTAACTGGCCTGCGTCAGTTGGCCTGATTACCGTCGCCAGCAACACCAACAAAACAAGCACTAAGTACCTGTAAACAATTAACGGCTAGTTAACCCCATAGTGAGTATGACAATGATCGGTATGAACAACAACAATGACGGCAGCAGTGTCCTAAACACTGGTAGCACCACCGCTTAGCGTTTGTCTATCTGGTCAATAGCGTGTAGTGTTTCTTTGTTCCTCGCTGCTACTGGCGTCGCCGATGCCTCTGCTTCATCGCCGCGTACGGCGGCAAACGGTTAACGTAAAATTACGTGGAAATAACCCAGTGTTAATTCAGCAGCAACGACAGGCCACCACGATGAACGCCCGCCGTAGCCTAGTTACTCAACTAATCGTTGTTAGTAATGCGTTGTTGATTCCAACTTTAATGTGATCCCGCTCTCGTCGAATTGCCGAAAGGTAGAAAAAAAAACAGCAACAGTTTACCGCTGCCTATTACTACTGGTCCTTTCTCGTTATTGCAGCTCGGTCATTAACCACCACAGCAGCTGTCACTGTTACCGCAGCAACCACAGTCTATGGCCTCGCTGGCGCTAACGTAGCCGCGCCCACTGGGACTGGCATGTTGGTGGTGATAAATAGCCTTTGTTCGTTTATTAGCTAGCTAGAGTTGATTTGCAGGTCGTCATGTATAGTGGCTGGCAGCAAAAAACCTGATCCTCTTCTGGACATGCGTGCGAGTATGCGTGTGTCAACATCTACCAGTGGAACGACTATTGCACTTCCGCGTTCGCAAAAAACGTCCGAGTCCTCTCTGTCGGCCGCTACCTTAGCCACTGCTGCGCGTTGCTCGTGCATCCGGCACGTTGTTCCGTACTTGGTGTATTGATGCCTTCTCCCCGGTGGCCACCGATCTGACTGTTCTGGATCGACGGGGTAACTTTGGCCAAAGGCTTGTCGCCGGCGCTGAATATCTGACGGTTTACCCTGTTGCCTATGAAAGCGCGCACATCTTTTCTCGGCCTGCCACAACCGTTACGGCTCACGCTCCTCTTTGTGTGGCCGCCACACCATTTGTTGTTACCCCCTGACGATCTCCGTCGTTGTTTCTTTTTAAACTTTAAAAGTGAACTTGGACCGTTCTGCTGTCATCAGCTTTTCTTTGCATTCAAGTGCCAGTCAGTTTGGCTCTCTGTACTGACTGAACGGCCGTGACGCGAACGACGACGACAAAGGCGATGGCGCCGCCAACTGCTACTGCTACCGCCAACGCTGCTGATAGGCAATCGTCAATCTCGTCTCATTTTGCTCTTGAAATCTTTTTTTTGAAGGGGCGACCGGCAGCCTGCCAACCAAAAACAGGAAAGCATCAAAGTAGCTAGCCGCTAGCGAAAGCCGACATCACTGCGGATGCTGCTGCAGCAGCAGTAAAAGCAGTTAGTGTATTTTTATCCAGGATAATGTATATCTATATATATATATATATATATATATATATATATATATGGCAGCGTTGTGCTATAATGAAGCATAGGTACCTAGACGCCCGCTTACTCACTTGTCTGCTTTTGAGTACTGCCGCATCAGCCGCAGCGGCGCATGGCTTCTGTTGCCAACAATAGTTCACGAGTCGAGGACAACCATAAAGCACCAGTTCACCAAAGTCAAGTTGAAGGCCGACGGCTATAACAGGCAGCTGTGGATAAGACTGCAGAAGCAACACTGAAACACGTAGTAAGAGCCTTCATGACGTTTAGGACAGCACGTTTAGACAGAAGGACTGAGGGAGCCGAAGAGGCAAGGAAGCCTTCCATGTGGTAGTGGTGTAATCTTGTAATGGTAGCGGTACAAGTACTATATAATAAATAAAAGGCTCTTTGTTGTCGTCGTCGTCGTCATTGTTGCTGCTGCCGCTGCAGAAGAGCAAAGAACGACGGCAAAGATCAGTTAATGCTCGTATGACGTATTGCCGACAGAAAGCGAATTCAGAGGTGTACTCAGGCGTCGAGAGCGACAGGTCCCCAAAGCGCAAACGCGAGCAGCAAGATATTGACGGTCTTTTGCACGTTACTGTCGGTGCGTTCACCAAAGGCGAAAGTCGCCGGCACCGACGACGCCCATTAAGAACAATACTAATAGAAAAACAGCAGCTGAACAATCACAGGAGCGTATTAGCATTTTATGCGGATCAATTGCGCCATTATACAGTAAGTAATATACGCAAAGTCGACACGCGCCTGCATTATGGAGAAATCTTGCTGGTTGCAAAAGCTAGTCGAATCTGTACTACGATATAATACATCACTCTGAGTGGTAAGACGTGCTCAAAATTGCTTCTGCTGCTATCGTTGCCGTGATTGAGTGTTGATGCCCTAAAGGGCCTCGTAGCGACATTGCAGTGGTTGATGCCACTAATGGAAGCCGGAACCGTGCTGGCAGCGGCGGCAGGGTTGTTATCTCCTTTACCCTCAAACAAGTCCTATGTTCGTAGAGGTGGAGATGTCTACGATGATGATGGTGATCAGGACAATCCTACTGCTTGGGATGATTATGTATTTTAATTGTAGCAATACCTTTAGTGACGCCTTTTACTGATGACAATGCCAAAGCGGTGATGTGTGCTGTGACGAACGCGACTGCTGTTAGTGCTGATGGAAGCAGCCGTCGTTGTGACTTTCTCGAGCCGTGGAGGAACACCACGACCCTGACGTAAGCTTCCATAGCGAGCACAACACATTCGCAGTCGTCCCCTGATCATGATCTTAATATTGATAATGGCTGTAGTGTTGTCTAACAAATCGACAGACAAGCATCTAAGGCTTTAGTTGGTCTGCTACTGCTGCTGTTGTCTGCATTGGCCTCTACCGTAACAGCGAGAAAACTGCCAGCAACGAGCGGCATGCAGCGGCAGCTGCTATGGCAGTTCGCTATTATATGCCGCCGCCGCCGCCGCCGCTAGCGAAATCGACGTCAAATATGAAGCAGCTCACATTCCGAGCACGATATTCGCAATTACAGGCTACTGCTGGTGCTGCTGTTACAAACTTGTTTGCCTTTATCGTTTCGATGTTGTCTCTTTTCAGCTTCCGAAACACGCACGCGTACAAACCAGTGATGCCTCCTCCAAAGCATCTGGATGACCTGGCCACTGATAGATGTCCAGCTGGTCGGCTGTTTCCATCAACAGTCTGCTATATATATATATATATATATATATATATATATATATATATATATGTAAAACTTCTTCACTCAAGCGCCTGTTGGTGTAGGTTAGCTAGCGGGAGTATTAACCCTGTTGATCTCCGGAACAGCAAATGGGTCGGCACTCGTTGATGCCGTCTGGCCATCAGCCCCGTGGACAACGTTGCAGAATTGAGAAAGTAGCATAGACTTCTGACAGGAGATGGCCGCAGCACGAGGGCTGTGGTAGTGGTACTGTTGTGGCACGTTACTGCTGTCTGCAGCGGCGGCGCCACCGGCATTGTTTCTTCTTTCGAGGTGGACTCATGTTCCGCTGTTACCGTTGATAATCGTCATGGATCTACCATACATTAATCGACATGACACGACGGACGACGTCGATATGGGTAAAGTGCGGGCGAGAGTGAGAGGCGTGCTATAAAGCGAAAGGTCGCGTGGCGTACGATCGCGCAGTGTCGACCACTCTCTAAAAATAAGAAGAGGCAGCAGCAGCAGCAGCAGCAACCACCCATTCACTTCGTTTCGCTCCCTTTCTTTCGATCGAACACGACTGGCAGCCGTGCATCTGCAGACAGCAAACGTGGCCTGGTCGGTCGGACAGAACAGGTCGAGAGCGTGCCTGCAAACCTGCCGCTAGCACGATCATCAGCAGGGTGGCGACTTTCGCATCTTAGTCGCAGAAAAATAGCAAAGTCCATCGAAGTAATAGCAGGTCATGTCTGAATGCGGGGTACAGTAGCGGTATGTCCAGTGCGGGAATACTATTTGCGGTCTAAGTGAATGCAATGGTTATAGTTCGGTAGTTATTTGTTTAATCAGTCAGTCGCCTTAATTACTGGTGAAGACAGGTTCTTGCAGTGAATCTAAGAGAGTAGGATTGAGTTGTTGTCAACTCGCTTTCGAAAGGTGCTCCTTTTTCATTAGACTTTTGCCGTCGAACGTCGTTAGTGGTGGACCATTATACAGTATAGTGAGAGCGTGCTCGGTAACGATAACGCTGACGCTGATCCTGATGTCAATGCTGTAAGAGTAGTGCCTGCGGCTTATCTACCATGATACCGTAAGCGTGTAATTCGCTCTGTTGACTTGTCCACGATTTTATACTGCACCCCTGCGTGATGTTGCTATACGTTCGGCAAACAGAAAGCAGCATAAATCGAGTGGTCCTCTATCGCCCATGTAGACGAGCGAACAACCAAACGAGAAATAGAACCAAATTTATCGTCAGCTGTTCTCGCCAGGCGGCGGAGTACAGAATACAGCATGGGACATAAAACTGCTGCTACTACTACTGCTACTACTACTACTACTGCTACTACTGCTACTGCTACTACTGCTACTGCCACTACTACTACTGCTGCTGCTGCTGCTGCTGCTCCTGCTGCTAAGGTCGCGAATAGGCGAACGGTTATTATATAGGGCATTGTCGCGTGCTAGTCGTCAAACTGGTTATCGGAAGTGTCAGATAAGAAAAAAACAAAGGCTAGCCAAAAAATATGCCGGTGTGCAAAAGAAGTCGTCGCTCTGCCCTGCTGGGAGCAAATACGATCTGGTTTAGTAGGGATGTATGTTTGGCGCTTAAGCGCTGAATACGTTGTATTGTCATTATCTATATATATATATATATATATATATATATATATCTGTGTGTGTGTGTGTTGCACTATGATGCAAAATGAAATGTTTCCTTTCTGCGTCATATAGCTTCCAGGTATTATGATACCCAGTGGACTGGCTGTTCAATAACCGTGAATTTGTTTCTCTATCATAATAGTGAAGCTAACAAAAATATTTATTCTTCATGTTTATTATGTCTCCATTATAGACTCAACTCTACATAGAAGGTGTGACGGGGGCGGGTCAATTTTATACTGGCGTCTACCAAGATCGCGTCCTGAACCATGTTAATCAGTTGATGGCGTACCATCCGCAGTATCAGGAGCCGTTCTCGCAAACGCAGGAATTTGTAATGCAGGGTGATGGTCCTCTTCCATATGACCAGCGACATTTCATCGCACTGATGGCCGCTTCAAGGCACCAGTGCACGTATCTTGCCGAAGTTGAGACGCAGGAGTTCCTGTCATGCGGCGGCGACAAGGCCTGGCTGCAAGGTTTACAATTCGCACCCAAGAAGATCCGCGACTTAGACGACATCAACCAGATGCTTGCCCACCGACCGTGGATGATCACAAAAAACCATATCCTTCGGTTAGTAACTGGCCAGGACAGCTGGTCGCTGGCCGAAGTGGTTCATGCCATCACGATTTTGGCGCATTTCCATGCGTTGTCCAGTTTTGTATTCGGCTGCGGAATCTCGCAACAACAGCTGCAGCAGCAGCAGCAGCAGCAGCAGCAGCAACAACAACAGCAACAACAACAACAACAGACGTCGAACGGGCTACGCCTAAACTCGTCACGAGAGTCGCTCAAATCTGGCGGGTCGAGTCCAGTGCTGTCAGGCAGTCCGAACGCGAGTCCGTCGCACCAAGGGTCGCCGATCGCAGGAGGCGAAGTTGAAAACCTCATGCGCAAAATGCGAACCATTTCAGAATCAAAGTCGTCGCAGGACATCACCTGTGAGGAGCTCGCTCGTCGATTTGAAAGCGAGGCTACGGAAAGTGCTTCCATCTCGACAATACACAATGCCAGCTACTCTAACGGGCAGACCGGCAATACTGGATACCCTGTTCGGGACAACGATCTGTCTCGGTTCGTGCTCGACCCGTCCTTCAGTTATCAGGACTTCACCAAGCGAGGCGAGGCTCCCGAAATTCCGACGTTCCGTATCCAAGACTATTCATGGGACGACCACGGATACTCGCTTGTCAATCGACTTTACAACGATGTCGGCAAACTTCTCGATAAGAAGTTCAAAATCGCGTACAACATGACATATTACACGTGAGTACAATCTTTTTCATTTATTTCTAGTACGCACTGGGATTTTATTGCCAAACTGTTCAATAGCTCCGGCTTTGGGTGGTGAACAGCGTTTACGCTAACCATTGTATGTCCTCATGAGTCATGCATAACTAGTCATGTATCAAGCTAATATCGATTACATTACCTCACTTTCATACCAATCGCTATCACAGTTAATTCAATTTATTTAAAACACAGCGGAAATAAGTTTAACCTATAAAACGTTTTCTTGTTCACTTTCTTTGCTTAGTATGGGCGGGAAGTTAAACGTTGACACGACGATGTTTCGACGTGCCGTGTGGAATTACATTCACTGTCTGTTCGGTATTCGGCACGACGACTACGATTATCGGGAGGTGAACGAGCTGCTCGATCGCAACCTGAAGCAGTACATTAAGGCTGTTTGCTGTTACCCGGAACGGGTGTCGAAGCAGCACTACGATAGTGTGATGCGCGAATTTAAATACTCGGAGAAGGTGCATGTAACATTAATGATCCTTGAGGCTCGCATGCAGGCCGAGCTGCTGTACGCCCTACGGGCGCTCATGCGACACACGACCTAGACGACAAGTGGTAGCAGCTCAGTCGAGTCAAACAGAACAGCGCAACGCAACAATTTATCCGAATACGAATTCAAATACGGATTCGAAAACAAAACAAAAAACACATTATGAGAGCACGTCCCCTCGTTCCGTTCTTATTTCGTCCTTTTGAACTTGGGCAACAACAACAACAACAACAACAACAGCAACGTCAACATCAACAACAATATACTACAGCAAGAACTCGAGTGATCGTATGTCCACATCTAGATACAGGAGGATATTGAGTCCTCCATTTATTACTAATTTTGATCAATCTTGGAAACAATTATTGAGTTGCTTAGATTCACCGGCCGGTCTCCCAGACGATATTCCCCACCCCATGACCCATAACCCTGTTAGCCTTGCTCTAAACCATCAGGACAGTGTCCCTTTATCCCAGAGAGCAAAACAAACATGTCTGTGTGTGCGAGACAACCGAGAGATTAGTAAAGCGTTAGAGCAAGTAAAGGTGGAAAAGAAATCGATAGATTTATTATCGTTTAACAGAGCGGATCTGAAAAATATGCTTATTGTAAATTATGCAGTACGCATATTAGATATAGTATATGCTCGGCTTTGTTTCTGCTTACTTAGTTTTTTTTTGGAATTCCCATACCGTAAAACAGGAACAATGGCTATCGTTGGTCCATTACGCTCCTATAATTATATTATTAGTCTATCGATTAAAATGAGTATCGTACTGTGATGGGATAGCTTGGGAAGCTTACTTGAGTCGATGCAAAAGTTGTTTTGTTTCATGACAAAACAAGAAAAGCCCAGATCATCACCAACTAGTTAAGCAGTTGAAATGTACCGACGACCGACTGTTGACGAAAGAACCGAAGATCATGCTTGATAAAATAAAGTTGGAGATGTTGATGGTGATGTCGACAATAATGAAAGGTGAAATTTACAATGATCTCCTTGGTGGTTCTCTCTGGTGATTGATGATCGATAGCGGGGTGTGTATCTATATGTATACGTAGCAATTGTATCAAAGATATTGACGATTTCATGATCAACCAACCCACTGCTTGTTGTACGCGTCTATCGACCGATAAGCCGCCCTTTTGCCGCCTTACGTACGTTTTTCCGCCCTTTTCTTTACTTCCTACTAGGTCTACTGTTCGATGCGTCTTCGTCTTCCCGACTCAATTCGGACCTATTAACGGCCTCAACAACACATAATCAAGGGCAGAACATTCGTAGTGATTGTAGTTGTAAGGCTACAATAGGCTGTGCACGTACGCAAATCAGGCGCTTATAAGCTTGTTGTGGGTCGTTGGTTCTTCCTCAATACATGATAGTATATATCTCATTTCTTCATGGCCCGATACACCCCCCGCTCGATATCTGTGATCGATCCCTAGCGCATGCGCAGCTATCGGCCGCCGGGGAGCTGGACTCTCCCCTATTTCCTCAAGAACTAGACATGATAGAACAATATAATTTATAATAATAATAATAACATCCGTCGCCGAGTAAAGTTGAAAAAAAAATGAAATATTGGACTCCAAGCTTTTCTTTTTCACATTCAAGTTGCAGTGAACCAACACCAATAAGCATAGCAACAACAACTTATTACAACAACAGGTTAGAAAAGCAACAATGACTACAACAACAGCAACAACAATAGAAATAACAGCATATACAAGCATCTAGTAATTCTTCGATATCCGTCACTAAACGCGTTCGATAATGACCGGTTGGATACAAAGTCGATAGGAAAAAATGTGATTTTGTTACTAGTTCGTTGTTTGCATCACTTATATTTTCTACTTATCCTTTGAGCTCTCGCCAAGATAAATGGCAACACCGGAGCAGTTGAGAAACAGAGACGAATTTCAGCGATAACAACAGCAGGGAAAACGTACGGCTTAAGCAAAAAAGGTGTGTTTTTGCCGCTATAAACAGATAAATTGTCTCTCTGTTAATGAACAAGTACTATCGCGTGGCGCTCCGATTGCTGGTGACATCCAGCCTGTCTGTGAGAGAACGACATTATTGAAAGAAAGCCAATAAATGCAAAACGTGGAGCAGGTAAACGATTATGATAATGATGATGATTATGGTGGTGATGATTACGATGACCATGAAAACACGGTGTGTTTTTTGCTAGTTGTTTTCGCGCTTTTCTACTCCATATCTATATACAATATATATATATATATATATATATATATATATATATACAAACACACACATATATATATACCAACTATTTATTTTTTGTCACTATTTGCTATTATTCTTATTATTCGTTTAGTGTACTCTATTAATAATGTTACAGAAAGGAAGAAGAGAAGAAATAATTTAAATTTGGCCTTATGTTCTGTATGTTCGTCTGTCGAATACGCTATGGCGCAAAGATTTCGAATTGAAGAGAGTATCGAAGCGATGCGTACAGGAGGTGTAGAAAAAGAAAACTGGCCATTTTTCTCTAGTGAGCGGGAGCTATTGCTCTGTTCTTATTCTAATACAAGTAAAGCACACCCACACACACAGACACACCTATAAATACATTCACAAACTGAGACGTACAGCCGTGAATACTCTCACCTAAGAGACAGGGACACACACGGAAACATATTATCGTTTTTTTTTTTCTAATATTTCGCATTTTTTTTTATTTGTAAATTTTTCGTCTTCCTATTTTTTTCTAGATCGTTTTGCTTTCTTGTTGTTGTGGTGGCGTGCGTAGCTTTTCCCGCGCTGTCTCCCCAATGTATTCAAGCTTGCGCTACCAAGTCGTTCAGTCGAAGAGGAATTGATTAAACAGTTGACGAGTGTCTGCAGCAAAACAACTATCCCTTCTTTCCTACCCACGTCCGCTATTCTTATCCCGTTTGTCAATGTATGAGGAAGTTGCATTCTCCGCCAGGGAATTCGCTGAGAACGATGGTGTCCCACAATCATCTGTATGTATGTATGTATAGTGATGTTATGTAAAATACCGAATTGTTGTGCGAATCGTATCTGTTTTCTGTATGTATGATTTGAATCTGTATCTATTTCACTTCGGGCACTTTTGTGTGTCACCTAGAAAAAATGATGAGAATTAATTCATTGGTCGCTCGCATTTACAATGGTAAAAGTAGTCTGTGGCAGGCTTTCTGTTAAGTTCACTCGGTTCTCTAAATAGCGATTGACGATTGATTGGGTATTTGCTAATACGAAGTAAAGAAAAATAACCGAAAAGCGAGAGCGAGAAGAAGAGGTGCGTGTGCCTGTGTATGTCTGTGTCTGTGTCTGTTTACGAAGCTGTTCCTGAAGGAAGGTCAACGTTTCGAACACGGGGAAACGAACGAAACAGTCTGAACGAGTTAGCGTTTGAAAACGTGTAGCTATTTTTTAGCAGAAGAAAAAAGGAAAGTAATTTCAGAAAGTTTGTGCGTATGATTGGCACTTGAACTCCTAAACAAAGTTGAGAACCATACCATCTCCCATTAAAACTGGCGAACAGTGTCTCAGTTGCAGCTTTCTGCTTTTTGCTGACGGCGTTTTACACTTCCTCAGAAGAAATTACCCACTGCCTTCCATTCGAACGTATTGTATACGACTTATCCCACTCTTCGACTCTTCTTGTGTCCCCGCGCGTCTATCTATTTTACTCTGATAAGGAAAAAAGTCACCACACCACCTGTGTCTGTCTAAAGATGAGCGATGATCCGGTAATTAATAGCAGAGCCCTTAGTTGATTATTCAGATTGCTGGTAAAATCAAATGGCGGCGGCGGCGGCGGCGGCGGTGGCGGCGGCTGCAAACGGATAGCGAAATGGACAGAATACGATTGAGAAATTATAAAGAAAATAAGAGAAAAAAAAAATACAAAAAACGCATGCCAAAAAAAAGCCCAAAAAGAAAAGCCATGAATTACTATGACGAGAAAAACATCAACATCATGAGCAAAAAAATACAACGTCCGCCTTTATTCGGCCGGACACGGTGGATGGGTTAGGTAATGCAAAGCAAATAAGGCGGCAGGTATTCATAATTATGATGATAATATTGATATTGACAATTGCTATTACTAATATTATAATTATTATAAGAAAAGAGAAAAAAACTCGAAAAGAAAAACAAGAAAATAGGTCGAATTATTATTATTATTATTATCATTATTATTCTTATGATACATACCCAATTAATAAAACATCAATGCGATATAGACAGACAAACAAGCGTAGCAGAGCGAGAAATCGTGGATAAAAGATGATCATAGGCTTATCATTTAAACGATATGAATGCTATATGTTTGGAGACTTTTTCTCTTGTGCGGCCCGAGGAGACATACTACGTGAACATAAAATAGCAAGCGAACCATCCGAGCGAACTGAGAAAGGATAGGAAAGAGACAAAACATTAAAAAAGAGGATAGGCAAAGACGGCTGAAGCGATACAGAATAGCGATATCAAATGAGAGAGAGAGAGAGAGAGAGAGAGAGAGAGTTCCCTTATTATACTCCCTCAGGCACAACCCGTTCCAATGATCCCAATCCAACCGCCATTGCGTACAGTTCCCCCGCTCCCATGACGCTTCCTGCCCATCCTTGAAATGAACTGTGTCAACTGTCTATTGTTGAATTAACATCGTCTCGTCTCGAACGATAACCAAGTTCAGATGGAAGAAAAGCACATGCAAGGAAATATATCGCACGATAAAAACAAAGAAAATAAGAAAGACAAACACCCAACCTCCCCCGAAGTTGGTTCGTTGACAAAAGAAACATCAATCACAATTACCCAGTAGCAACAACAACAAACACATTTAATGTCTGACTCACTGCCACTCTGCCACTTGTCTTATCTACCACGTGCGCGACATTTATATCATCCGTCGTCAGTATCAACTATCAGTCAAACAACCATTGTTATAGGAAATTGCAACAGTGGGCTCATCATTCTGTGATGATGCACTATTACCCTATGATAATGCTCGAAAATAACGCTAAGAACATGTCAGTCTAACATTTGAAAAGGCTTATGATCGTGTCGTCCGCATGAGCGACAAACCCGTATTCATTGAACTATTATTCCTGCTACACGATATGGCGTGTGAAGGTGTGAGGCGCTAACAACACGATCGTAACACGTAATAGTTAGAGAATACACGTGAACCTGCTACATGTCAACGAGTGGACTAAAGGGAAAGAAGGAAAACTAAAATGAGAAAAACGGCCTATTTTCGGTACGGCCGCTCCACGGTGTTTGAGATGCAGCTGTTTCATGGTGAAGTCTCTGCGTTGTATATGCCCAATACCTTTTCAACAGCAATGTCAATAATATGACTAAGAACATGAAGATTAGATTTGATAGCAGTCTGCAGCTTGGTCTGTGATCTATGGGACTGTACACTGCCGCCGCTGGCCGATTTTCGATACCTCTTCTGACCATGGAACGAGTTTTTGAAATTCGAAAGTTCCGGAGGCGGCAGTATAAATGTCATCCACGAGAACCTATGAGAGAGTAAGTGTGATTACTAGTATGATAACGATGGTAGTGTGATGATGAAACGGTGTAAAGTAACGAAGATGTCAAGGTAGCAGATAGCGAGAGCGAAAGGCAAAAGGTGGCTATGTTGATGATAGTCATGATGACAATGAAAAGGCTTGAAGACAGGAAACTCGTTGATGTGATCATATAACGACAGACTATATAACACGCAGAACTCTCTAATGTTAAATAGCAGTGGTAGTAACTGGTGATAATGATTATTGCTGATGATCATGTTGATCATATGATAAGTGAATCACAATGAACCTGAAAATTATCATGGCGATGATGGTGATTGATTGATGATGACAATGGCTGAGTGGCGTAAGTGCCGCACAGCGTCGTTCAGAAAATAATAATGATATTAAATCGAAGAGAAGATGGCCATCATTGACAATAATGCAACAGCAACTCAAAAAAGAACACACACATACAGACCCACACGCACACACACACAGCAACACACACACCCACATATATATATATATATATATCTGAGATATATACACATATATATATATATATATATACATATATATATATATATATATATATACATATACATATATATATATATATAGCGAAAGGAACAGAAGAAGAGGCGCAAGTTATACTATGAAAGAAGGCAATCCCGCCGGGCTCAGCGAGGGGAGGTGCGCGCCGCTGAGACGTCTATCCGCCGGACTGAGTTGAGACGTCGGCGGCGTCGAGTAGCGGCGGACATCCTGCCCGCTGGTCCCAACACACGAATGGTGAATATTGATAATGACCGATGATTATAAAAATAATAGTGGGAGCCAATTGTAGTTGAAAGGAGACTGAGCGGACGAGAAAGACTGGTAATAATAATAATAATGATACTGCTAACTGGTGATCATAAGGATAATGATAAACTGATGACGAGGATGCTGATAATGATGAGTGTTGATCCCTCCCGTTCTACTGTGATACGATCTTCTCGGCATTAGCTTACCATACCACCACAACAACCATAATAATAATAATATTGATAACGATAATAATGATAATAAATAACGACCACCATAACACAGTGATGAAGAGTGAACACTAATCACAACCATAACGCAAACATCAATAGTAACTGAATAGATTTTTACAGAGTAGCTAGCCATCACACCCAGCAGGTCGAGCGAAAGAACGAACTGAATGCATGAGACAGCGCGAAAGAACATGTGAGAGAAAAAAAAAGAGACAGGATAACATAAACAAATAACGATTTTAGCGACATCTGTTAAACGTAACAGTAAACAACAACAACAACAACAACAACAACAACTCAGATTTAACCATGAAACAGTATGTCCAGTACATGAACACCGACAACCCAAAACCAAACAGCAGTATAATATACAACATCATATGGAACGAGACAGACAAAGCGCGCGGTAAAGAGATACTATTTAGAATTGAAAAGACAGAGTTCACTACTAATAATACTATTATTAATCACCGAAATAATACAATATAACATTTGACTGGGCCACCGGCATTTGAAAGCCCTTTGGGCATTCGGATGTTCGGATGGGGTAAAGGGAGTTCGTCATATGGAAGGGCGGGCGGGCGGGCGGGCGGGCGGCAGCAGCAGCAGCAGCGTGGCTCACTGGCAAACGACAACGACACACAGAATTTTCTAGTTTTCTTTCCCACTCGCCTGCCTTCTCTTCGATGGCTCTACTCCCGGTTGGTGAGATGCAGGGTCTCCCCCGGCAGCTGTTTGTCGGCCCCGGGGGCTCACTTGAGCTCTATGATACTTTGTGATAGCGACCCTTCAAGCTGGTTGTTCGCTCCATCGCTGTGACGGGGCGCTGTTGGCGCGAAGGACGCTCCGGTTAAGTCAAGTTGACTGCTTGAAAGTTTGGCAGGCTGAGGCAGGTTTCAAAGTATATCGTGACGAAAGAAAGGCGTGAACAACTGACAATACAACAGAAGAAGATTAAACGAAACGAAGAGCAAATGTATGTGTGTAAGATGGAGAAAGAGAGGGGGATTGAAAGTGAGTCTTATGGTTGCGTTATACGATGTTAAGAACATAATGATAAAAAGCGTGGATGAACAACGTAAGCGTGCGAGCGGGCTGTAAGGTGAAGTTGTGGGGGCGGGACGGAATGTAGAAGAACAACAGAAACAACAAAAGCAAAGGAACATGCATACATGTGCGAACGAGCAGACGATATCAACAATAGCAGAAGACGCCCCAACAGACAGCAACGACAAGGGCAAACGAAAAGCCACACCACACAGACAGCACGAAAAAGCTGACAGGTGCCCTAGTAAGGAGGTGGTACCTAAAGGTTCCCTTTGACAGCAAAAGACAACAAATATGAAAACGACAACAATACAGAACTATTCGGGCGTATGCCGTAGTATATACTGAATGAGTGACAAACAGCAACAGCAAAATACTATTCGGCATATATATACATATATATATAATTACCTAAGTGTAGGTATATACATATACCCGAAGTTTTCAGTAACGAAGATAATGATAAAATACAGAAACAACAACAACAACAACAACAACAACAACAACAACAACAACAAACAACGAAACAAACACAATAACCACCACCTCCCATTTCTCTGCTGATAATAATCGTAGCGTTTATGATCAGAATACAACAACTGATATCAAGAATAATATTGGTATTTATATTAATTATTGCTACCACTATAATAATCATTATAATATTGGTATATGGTTATATTTGTAGCTAGATTACGGCAGGAAGATGACGACAATAACGTGGAAGAATAGTGAAGGTGACGACGCAGTTAATCGTCGTAATAATATTGAACTAATAGTATGATGATGATGATGATAATAATAGAGATAACTTATATTGGTTCGTCGTGTGTGAGGAATTGCACGGAATCAAACTAACCGCTTATATCAATGCGTATATAGGCGAGCATATATTCATATATATATCCGTGACATATATGAAATACTATATACAAACAAAAACGAATATACATATACACACATTCATACATACATACATACATACATACACAGAGGCAAACAAATACAGAGGAACCGGAAGGACACATAGAGAAACCGGTCGGCGCGGCTTATAAAGCGACAGATAATAATGACAGAAAAGAGGTAACATTAACGATCATAACAACGACGAAGGAAAACAAAAAGTAATTGTTTGGCATACAACAGGGAGCGAAAATCATGGAAGTGCTGAGGGAGAATACGGGGGCATAATAAGCGGAACAAACTGGTAGCGCATATGTGATTGCGGAAGATACAAAAAACCAGAGATCGGGGAAGATCAAGGAAGGACAACAAACAAGACACACGAAACAAGTTTTCAGAACAACAATAACAGCTACGCGATTGTCTATAAGAACAGAAGCGATGATTCAGAAGATGAAGTAGATGTGAAAA